ATTTCATATCTGCTATATCTATATTCTCCCAAATAACTTTCACCCAAAACTTTTTTTCTCATCATGGAGTTCATATTCGTTATTTTGAATTCATATTCCAAAGGTATTTCTTCGTTATCTACCCTGACTTCCCTGACTGATCCGGAACGCTTACCAGAATTACCGCCTGGAGAAGAACAACGCTTACAACGTGCAGCCCTTCACCTACAACAAAAACTAATTCTACGACAATGGCTAACGGAGAATCGACTCGGTCAACATTATACAAGGCATGTCAATCGAATTTGATAAAATTATTTTTTTCTTTTGTATAGTAAATTGTGCTTTAGTTAATGTATGTTTGTGTGTGTTTTCAGATTGTTAAACTTAGAGGTATCATCTCTCGAAGACGTTTATTGGCTAGAAGATTCCGAAGCTAGTAAAGTACTCGGAAAAGATGCTGATTTATGGTCAAAAGTTCGTCAAAAGCTACCAACATCAAAGCAACAACTGGAAACTATGAAATCTGATTTATGGTCAACGATTGTAAAATCGAGGTATAAAACACTTTCGATATAATGTTTCCATATAACGCAATTCAAGCATACCGTATTATATCTAGCTCTCATCAAGACGCTTGGACGTTTGGAGATGTACTTGTTGTGTCGATGTCATTTGCCGGACTCATTACGTTGGCAGCTGTTACACAGCCAGATTTGGCTCCCGAAGCTCGGTCATCCCTATTACAATACGTTACTGGTAAATATTTAATGCCATCGAATTGCAAAGTGATTTGGGATTGGATTGATCCGCACGTTGTTGGAGGCACAGTAAGTTTTACCGTGAGATTTTTTCAACGCAATGGAAAACCTTATCCGATCTGTGACACCGATCAATTTTTTGTTGAAGTTACCGAAGGAACTCGGAAGGTTTGCAATTTTATTTTTTGTAATGATTCCTTAACATTTTTTTAGGATACCACACATAGAGAAAAACATAAAGACTTAGTACTATATTTTTAAGAAACGTCAAAACACAACCACTATTGTGTTTTTTCTCACTCATTTTTTTTATTCAATTGTCAATGTGTATGCTGCGCGCATGTATAGAATGATCTTTCACTCACCAGTAAACATATTTGGGGACATTTTCATACCCCAAGGAGGAGTTATGGAGGGTTACTATATGAACAAAAAATGTTCGTCTCATTAAAGGCTACAACTTTGCCAAAGAAAGCAATCAAATAATTTGTGTCGTTTCCGAAATATAAAGATGCTATGAAACCCTCAAAAGGGGGTATTTTAGACTTCAACGGGCCGTATCTAGACTCATAATAATTTGGGGAAATATTTTTGATGCCAAATGTTTTATTTTGGACCCCTCTACCACATCTGGCAGGAATTTTGAAAAAAAAAAAAAAAATCTGATACTCTGAGCATGTTTACTGGTCAGCAAGAAAAAAGTGTGTTTTGACGTTTCTCAAAAATGCAGTAGTAAATCTTAATGTTTTTCTCTCTGTGCATTTATTTAATTTCATATCCTTTAAATTAGGTGGTTGTTCTTAGTGAACTTGGTTCGGAGTCAAATCCAAATAATGCAAATGTCGCTAAAAGTAAATGAAAATATATATTCTTTTTTATTTCGAAGACGAAATCAGGCAAGCAACCTATACGGGGTAAAACCATATTTTTTCATGAAACATCATGTGCTTCGAAGTGGCCACTGAGACTTTCGACCTGTTCCGGTTGTTGCTTCTTTTTTATTTTTGTGAATAAAATTATTATGGCTATAAGTGTAAGTGGTGGCGTATCCAAGCAATAGAACCATCGATGACAATAATCAAATTTTACATACACCATAGTACGAGGGTTGCTCCATAATTTTTTTTAAAAACATATATAACACAGTTGTTTTTTGTCGAAAATGGTTTTATTGTTTTTCAAAATATTCCCCGAGATGATCGATACACTTTTGCATTCGATGAAACCATTTGTCATAGCATTCGTGCCACTCCGAAACTGATATCTCCAAAACGTGTGTTTTGAACACTTCAACTGCTTCTTCTGGTGTCGAAAATCGTTGACCACGTAGTTTTTTCTTCACGCTTGGGAACAAAAAAAAGTCATTGGGTGCCAGGTCAGGACTGTACGGTGGATGACCCATCAGTTCGATGTTTTGACCGGTCAAAAATCGAGTAGTTTGAAAAGATGTGTGAGAGCTCGCATTATCGTGATGAAGAATTATTTTGCGACGGTGGTTGTTTTTTCTTATTTCACCAAACACTTCGGGCAAACAAATGGTGGTATACCAATCAGAATTGACGGTCTTACGATCCTCTAGTGGAACGGTTGCCACATGACCACTTCTCCCGAAAAAACAGGCGACCATTCGCTTCGAAGTGCTTCTTGCTCGAACAACTTTCGTTGGGTTATCTTCATTTTGGAAGACCCATACAGTCGACTGCTGTTTCGTTTCGGGCTCATAGGCATATATCCACGATTCGTCACCAGTGACGATTTTATTAACGTCTTTTGAAGCACCACGATTGAATTTCTTGAGCATTTCTTTACACCAACTCACACGAGCCATTTTTTGTTCATCGGTCAATTTATGTGGGATCCAACGAGAGCAAATCTTTTTTACGGCTAAATGTTCATGCAAAATTGTATGTATGCTGTGGGATGAAATGCCCAAAGATGCCTCAATCTCACGGTAGGTCACATGACGATCTTCCATAATCAGTTTTCTGACAGCATCGATGTTTTGTGGCACAACAGCCGATTTTGGACGACCTGTATGAAACTCGTCTTTGAGCGAACTACGACCGCAACGGAATTCTCGATACCAGTTATAAATTGTCTGAAGGGTTGGTGCTTCATTGCCAAAGGCCAAATGAAGTCGATCGAAACACTGTTGTTGAGATAATTTACTTCGAAAATCGTAGTAAATCATTTTACGAAAATCTTCACGTGTAAAATTCATTTTTTTGTTGAGTCGCAGTTTACCAGTCACTGTAAACAATACAAATAGCGTTCGTACGACAAAAGGTTCAGGGCACGAATACATACCAAAACATCAAACTTTACGAATATGACAATGGTTTACATCGGGCAACACTATAAGTACCATTTTAAAAAAAATTATGGAGCAACCTACGTACACTACCAGTGCTCGATGTATTAAAATTACCTGAAAGAATTCGACGAATACAAAGGTCAATTTCAAAGCTTGTATTTATCAGAATTTGATTTGCTGGAAAACGAACATCATTACGAAACGGTTGATGTATTTGACGCTATCAGATAAAGAAAATTGAAAAAAGGTTCAATCAATTTCTCACAAATTTAATTATAACATACCAAAGACCTGGGTAAATCTAAGTGTTGGCGAATCGAACGGCGATCATAGGTAAATGACAACTGGCCCAAGCGATATTTTACAAAATGTACAAAATCATCCCATAGATACCTAAGTAATGGTATCATTGGAAATTGTAACATAAAACGAAAAACATAAAAAGTGCGCAAGCTATTCAATAAATAAATAAATACCACTCATCAGCGATGAGCATCTGTACTTCAAAACTCCAGCCGTCGTACACCATTATTCCCAAGGTTAAATTAAGAAAAATAAATTATTAGTCTGATTTAACGTAGAAGCGCTTTTAACAATTGAGAATTTTTGCACTATTATTGTCAACTACACTAGTTGATCACTGTAAGTAGACTAATAACATTGACAGCGAAACGATCCATTGACGAAATTTATACTCATTGTAAAATGATCATATGTGACTGGGTTCACATCGAGGTTATCAGGCAGTTATAGGAAAAAATATCGCCGCAGGAGCACAGCTGATAGCTTTTCTACGCTCTGTTTTTCTTATCGATATTTCAAAATGAATGGAGTGAAATATTAAAATAAAAACTCATTTAATGTAATGTAAATTGCTCAATACCTTTCGAACTATACATTTGCTGGAGGTACATAAGAGATCTGAAAAACAGCAAAACAGAACATGTGTTGACTGATTGAATGGAAGCGCTTTGAAATAAAGTTATACAAAAATCCGGCAACATTGAAATATCGTTCCGTCTGCGATTGCCTCCGTACCCTTATCGCATTGGAAACAAAATAAACTACTACAACAGATTATGCATTGACGCGCACCATTCATTTTTTGCACCGTATCACTCAGCCGCGCTCATAGTCATTGTTATGTTGTATTTCGCTCTCCACTTTCTGCTTTACAAAGTCCTGTGTTGTGGTGTGCTTTGCCGTGCAGTTGTCTTTCCATATCGATAAAACGAACATGAGCACATACGTTCGCGCATTGCATTGACTTCAGTGAAAATTCGTATGACGACAGCAATGAACGCTGCTACGTCCCACAGGCTACAAATCTCGGCCAAAAACCTCTATATAGTACAGACTCTGTATGAATCGGTACAATGAATTATTATCATCTCAATTTAATGGTTAAAAATGTACAAATTTATTGAGAAATGAAGTAAAAAAAATACCACAAAAAAAATTTGATAGACAATTGACGTACGCATAGAATTTTTGTGCCGTGATATTCATTTGTATTTGCTTCATCGGTATTCTTTTTCTCAGTGAACGTTCGTAAAATAAAATCGTTCGATTATGGTCAAATAATGATTATTCGTTGGTTGAAAATATCCGCGGCATTATTTCTTACATTGATTTTATCAGTTTCGTTGACAAAACTTATTATTTGTATTTGGGAAAACTTTCAATTTTCTTATGGTGACGAGCGCTTTGATGTTTTAGTATGGCTCGAACAAAATCGATTCGGACAGCATAAGGAGGCATTTCGTAAGCGTGGTAAGTTATTTTTTTTACTTCTATTATTGGATTTCTACACCTTTATATTGGCTTATAAAAATAAGAATGAAATTTGGTTGCGGTCGGTCGATTGAGACGGTGAAAGTAATTTAATAACTGAAAAGAAAACAAAAGAATTGCCAAATATCTGAAAATGGTAAAATGAACAACTCCAATTTGGCACGATTTCAATTGTATTTCCTTTTGAGATAAACAAATTTAGTACATGAAATTTATAGTGTTTTTTGTGTGTTTAGTTCATACAGCATGGAATAAACCACCTGTTCTTTTTACGTACATTATTATTTCTCATGCCGTTCGTAATGTCTCTCATTGTGTGGTTTTAATGATTGTTTGTTGGTTTGAATTTGCATATTGAACAATGTTCCACTGTTTTGAGGTTCGTTTAGTAAAAATCGCTCGCATTGTCATTGGTTATACAGCCACAAATAAATGTCATCCGTGAGTCAAATGAAGAAAAACACAAAAATTTGTTCCATGTGTCTGTCCATCAAGGCATATGTTTATAAACACATACAGATGGTAACGTGTGTTTCTCCTTTTAAGAGCTTGCGTATTGTGTTCGGTACGCTAGGACAGTTCACATTTAATGAAGTGGATGAAATACCAAAACAACCAAATATATATACATTCGAATACATTCTTTTGATTCTGCGTTACAGGAAATGCCGCATAAAAAGTAATTTTACTTCGAAAAAAATTTGTTCAACATCAATTTAATCGACCAAATTCGAATTATTTTTGAAGCAATTATTTTAGTTAGATCATATTGGAAAATGTTGGCTCAAAAGGTATTCCCAATTTTGATATTCAATACATCGATTCAAATAAATTATGGCATAATTTAAGGGTGTAAGTGTGGTTGTGTTTATTGTTCAACTCATGCTGCTTTTGCCACCACTTACAACTACAATACAAGCAATGTGTTCAGTGAAAGTAGAGTGCAATATATAGCACATACCTATGGAGCCCGAAAAATGAATTGGATAGTGTTGAAAATTTCAGTCGCCAACTAACCTTTATTTAAATCAGTTGTGTCTGCACTAAAGTGCAGCACTAGCTTGCAAGCTCACCATTTTTTTAATTTAGCCCATTACTGTGGTTGCCTTTTCACACTTCTTTTTCAATTTATTCATTTCTTTCGACAATCGAGTTTTATTTAAATAAATCCCGTGTAATTTATCCTACAAATCTCTTTTTTTAAATCGCGTCAAAATTCTAAATAAAAATACGGAAATAAATATAGACGACAATATCAAAGTGAAAGCTTTTTTACACCTGTGTGCACATCATAAAAAAATCATAAAGGGAAACACGATACAATGTATCGTATACATACATGTTTGTATGAATATACATATTCATAATATAATACACAGGAATAAAGGAGAACGATATTTTTAATAAAACAAAATACGTCTCGAAAATAACTTATAGAGTACTT